CAGAAGCAGTCTGCCTCTCTTGCTTCCTAGTCTGTCTTAGTCTGGAAGCTCTGCTGAAACTTGTCCATCATGGGTGATTCTGCTGGGATTTAAAATATCGGTGGCCTAGCTTCCAGCATTACAGCAATATGCAAACCATCACAGTTCTAGAAACTGACAGATGAGTGGCAGACCACGCCACAAATTGTTGTTGTTATTAAGTGTGTTTGAGTCGGTTCCACCTGACAGGAACCCTGTATAGGGTTTCTAAGGAGCAGCTGGTGAGTTTGAACCAATGACCTTGTGGTTGAGTGCTTATCCTAAAATGCCATACCAGGACTCCCACAAATGGAACCCATCAAAACTAAACTGGTATCCTGTCAGCATAATAGTGAGAAAGAGAACATTGCTGAACAAATAGCCAGAAAGTAAACTGGCCGTCTAAAAAGAAGTGTTCCAGTTGATAACTTGAGAGGTATAGAATCCACACAGGTTTGCTAACTATGACAGAGATCAAGCAGGCAGAAAAGCAGAATATCAGCACCAAACCAGACCAAAACCTACTGCCACTGAGTCCATTCCGACTGTAAATCTCAATGAGAGCAGACAGTCTCATCTTTCTTCTTTAGAGAAAGATATATGGGAGGAGAGCTTCTCATCTTCTTATTTTTAGATTTGAACAGGCAACCTTGCAGTTAGCAATCCAGTGCTTATCCTACGTAGCACCCCCAACATAGTCACAAGCAAATACCCAGAGTGGGTGGTGCGGAGACCTACTTCTCCATACTCTGTGTGTTGCTAACATCTCCTTGGTACAAGTCAACAGCAAATGAATGCGGAGAAGGAAAGCACAATCTGTCCAATTAGCATACCGAAAAAGAACTGTTTATGAGTGATCCTGAAGAGGACACGTCAGGAGGTGGACCACAGAATCCTGCCCCCACCTGGCTTGGGAGGACCAGTTCAGGAGACTCCCATATAACTCTGCTGGAACTACTGATAACTTGGAGAGAGAAAAGGGAAAAAATAAGAAAAAGAGGTTGTCATGAAGGGGGTTAGCCAAGAAAGTGAGTAAAGGAATTTTGGTTAGAAGTTGAACAGGATCAACTAGGTGTCACTGTTCCCACCCCCAGACCAGTGGGTAATGTGGGTAGCCAGTTCCATAGTAGCTAACTTAGGAAACAAAGTCTCAAACTGAAATTCCTCAACCATTGTTGTCATTGTTGTTAGGTGCCATTGAGTGGCTTCGGACTCACGGTGACCCTCTGACTTAATTCTAAACAGAATTAAATGCGACCTGCCCCTGTAGCATCCTTACTACTGCTGCCACATTGAAGCCCATTGCTGCTGCCCCTGGGTCAAACCATCTCATTGGGGTCGTCTTCTTTTTTGATAATCCTCCACTTTTTCAAGCATGATATCCTTCTCCAGGGAATGGTTCCTCCTGAAAACATGTCCAAAGTAGAAGAAATGTAATTTCATGCTCCTCACTTCTAAGCAGCACTCTGGCTGCACCTCTTCCAAAACGGATCTATTGGTTCTATTGGCAGCCCATGGCACTTTCAATATTCTCCTCAAACACCATAAGTCAAAAGCATCAATTTTTCTGCAGTCTTCCTTATTCTTTATCCAACTTTCTTATGCATATGAGGTTACTGAAAATCCCATGGCTTGGGTCAGTCACACCTTTGTCCTCAAATTGACATCTTTGCTCTTTAATGCTTTAAAGAGGTCCTGTGCAGCAGATTGCTTAATGAAATATGTCATTTGATTACTTGACTGCTACTTTCATAAGTATTGATTATGGATCCAAGCAAAATTAAGTCTTTGACAACTTCAATCTTTTCTCCATTTTTCATCATGTTATTTACTAGCCCAGTTGTGAGAAATTTTGTTTTCTTTACATTGAGGTACAATCCATACTAAAGGCTGTGGTCTTTGATCTTCATCAGTATGTTAAGTCCTCTTTGCTTTCAGAAAGCAAGGTGGTATCATCTGCATATGGCAGGTTGTTAATAAGTTGATCCATTAGTGAGCCCTGAAATCAATGCAGTGGACTCCAGCCAGTACACTGGAAAAATACAAACAAAATTGAGTCAAATATGTCAAAGCACATTGCACAAAGGACGTGCACTGTTGGATGCACTTTTTGTGTGTGTGAGTTAATAGAGTGTGCATGAGTCAGAGTATAATACTCTAGGCCACCTTCTTGGTCGTGAATGATGCCCTCGTGTCCCTTTAAACTATAAGCAGCCTTCAGAAAATCCATTGAAAAATTAAATTAAAATACAATGGAATTTTTTCATGAACTTTAAAAGCCTACTTATGCATCAAGGAGAAGTACATTAAAAGTACCATAGACTTCCAGAAAAACAAATAAATCTATGTTGGAAAAAGTACAGCCAGAATGCCCCTTAGAAGCCAGAATGGTGAGACTTCTCTCATACTTTGGACGTGTTATCAGAAGGGATGAGTCCCTACAAAAGGACATCAAGATTGGTAAGGTAGTTGTTGTTGTTGTTGTTGTTGTTGTTGTTAGATTTCACCAAGTTGGTACCAACTCATAGCTACCCTATGCACAACAGAACGAAACACTGCCTGGTTCTGGGCTAACCTAACAATTGTTGCCATGCTTGAGCCCATTGATGCTGCCACTTTGCAAATACATTTTGCTGGGGATCTTCCTCTTTTTGTCTGACGCTCCACCCTACCAAACATGATATCCTTCTCCAATGACTAGACCCTCCTGACAATATGTCTGAAGTATGAGAGATGAAGTCTGGCCATCCTGGCCTCCAAGGAACACTCTGGCTGCACTTCTTCCAACATAAATCTGTTTGTTTTTTGGCAGCCCGTGGCACTTTCAACATTCTTCTCTAACACCATAGCTCTTATGCATCAATTCTTCTATTTTCATTATCTTCCTTATTCACTGTCCAACTTTCACATGCATATGAGGTTATTGAAAATACCATGGCTTGGGTCAGGCACACCTTAGTCCTCAAGCTGACATCTTTGCTCTTCAACACTTTGAAAAGGTCTTGTGCAGCAGATTTGCCTAATGCAATACATCGTCTGATCTCTTGACTGCTGCTTCCATGAGTGTTGATGGTTGATCCAAGACGAATGAAGTCTTTGACAACTTCAATCTTTTCTCCATTGATAAGAATGATGTTTATTGGTCCAGTGGTGAGGATTTTTGTTTTCTTTACATTGAGATATAATCCATACCAAAGCCTATGGTCTTTGACATTTTATCAGTAAGTATTTTCAGTCCTCTTCACTTTCAGCAAGCAAGGTTGTATCATCTGCATATGGGAAGAGCCCCAAGGAAATGGGTTGACACAGTGACAGCAGCAGTGGGTCAAACAGAGATGGTGCAGGACTGGGCAGTGTTTCATTCTCATAGGGTCAGTTTGTGTCATAATTAACTAGGCCGCATCTAACAACCTAGAGCAAAGAACTGTAGGAAACCATTTAGACCACCGGCTCTGTGGCACACTCACTGTACTAATGGGTAACTGTGAAATGAGAGTAGGCTTGTGTCTGACATTTCTGTGGAAAATCCCTGACCTATGGAAAGAAATGTCAGTTTGTTGTTGTTGTTGCTGATGCCTACTACACTGAAACCTCTGCTGTTCAAAATCATTTGGAAATAAGTCCTTTAGACAGCAAGTTTTGTTTGTCCCTCCAACATATACCCCCGGAATTAAGAACCATCTAACCAGCTGGCTTTTCTTCAGTTGTTCTCTTCTCTGCTTTTAAAATGGGTATTCCACAGGCACCACCAGCTGACCAATTGGTGCCTTCCTTTTGGCCAATAATCCAACCTCCTGGTCTACCAAGGGCAGCGTCTGCTTCTTGGCTACTGAATGCTGCCAGTTGGTTTCTCCACATGAAAGACATTTCTGAGCCTATCTGATGACAGTTTGGGACTGTTCCAAACACTTGAAGGTACCAAAGACTCATTTAAAAATATAGGTTTTACCCACTTCAATTATACATATAAAATCTCTGCTTACTCTAAACATGCTCTTCTAATTTTTTTTTTTTTAAGTAAGATTTCATTTGGCCTATTGTCACTAGCAATCAAGTGTTTACAGTTCCCACCTGAAATGCAGGCTTTGGAAGGAAGAGTGCTGAGTCATAGAGTCACCCCTCCTGGGCTAGCACTGTAGCGTAAACACCAAGTCAGCAGTTCAAACCCATCATCTGATCCTTGGAGACCCTATACAGGGTTGCTATGAGCCAAAACCAGTGTGACAGCACTTAACAACAGCAAGCCATGTGATGTGTTTGTGTATCCCTTAGAAAAAGGCATCCCTTCCTCAAGACTCATTACTTTTTATCTGCAGAAAACTGATATGATAGACTGATTTTGATGAAAGGGCTGTTTGACCGCTCTCGGTTAGACACTGTAAATATCTGAAGCTACAACGTCTAGAGCACAATGGCAACGGTTTAGATGCTGTGCACTGATTCATACACAAGCAGCTGGAGGACAGCAGGCCGAGTCTCTGTCTGGCCCACATTCTCCTATCACTTCTGTTAAAAGCTCCATTCTTCCCTTCCGTTAAGAGCGAGTTCAGCACTCACCTTCTCCACAGACATGTGTCTCACAGGATCACAGCCATGCTTACCTGAGAATCCACTTTACTGAACTCTTAGCATTTTGCTCACTGTCTTCTCAAATTGTCTTTCTGTTAAGAGTGCAGGTCCCTCATAAATAGAATTCACATATTAAATGCCTTCAAACATGCAGTACATGTTCAATACCTATATTTAATGTTGAATAAATACTTGTTGGTAAACATTATAATGAAATTGTGCTGATATTCGATGATTTCATTTTTGTTTAAATAGCTGCTTCAATCATAACCACTGAGCATATCCCAGACATGATGTTGTGAATTTCTTTAAATCATTTTTCTTTTCAAATAATGAACAATGGCATGTTGTTTTGTTCTGGAAGCGTTCCGAATGCTGTCCTAAAATAGATCCACTTTGTCCTCTGTGTACAGCTTGCTCTCTACTCTGGAAGGTTTGAAGAGTTCCAGAGCACTCTGACAAAAAGCAATGAGGTGTTTGCCACTTTCAAACAGGAAATGGATAAAGTGAGTACTGCATATAACCCATGAAATATTGACATTTTGTTATTGTGACAAGCATTCTCCTTTCAGTTCATTTCTCTCTTGTGAAGTTATTTCGGTGCATTTCACAACGTAAGGAAAGTGTGGGTGAAATTTGTGTTGTATTTTTTTAATTCATAAGTATCTGGTAAATTAATCTTAGCAAGCGTATAGCATGACTAGGATATATTTTAACTCTGAGAAAGAGCAGGTTCTTTTTCTAATCCGTGTATAGTTTATAAAAAACAAAAGTGCTGGCAAATTAACATTATGTTGTAAGTACTGAAGTAAAAAAATACCTAATCTTCTAAAGAGAAAAAGAACTACTTTAGAATGTTAGAATAAAAAATATCTTAGGACGGTTCTTGAAAGGGAAAATATGCCCTATGACAGAATTGGCTGAAGTGAACTCCATCCAACTCAGGGTCCACCGTGTCCTCACTGTCATGACCTTTACCCTGAATTTCACTGTATTAGCTACAAATACAGATACCATTTCCCTTGCCTCACAAGGTTGTAAAGTTCAAATGAATTCATATATTTAAAAAGGGGGTTTCACTTCTTAAAAGTCTTTTGCAAATATGTGAATAAGGTTAGTAATATTACTATAGAATAGTGTTTAAATTTTGTTTCTACTCAGTGCTTTGTCAATACAAAATCAGCATCAGAAGTATGTTTCTAAGCACTAATGATTTTTAAGTGTAGAAAACTTCCTTTTAGAAACAGTTTTTGTAAAATCATATGATAAACTTCACACTTCAAGGAGCAAACTTAAGATTGTCTTTTAAAAGGCCAAGACTATCTAAAAGTTACAGCTTTCGATCAAGGATAGATTTATCCATTTTTTTAAAATGATTTTATTTACTTTTAAAGTACAGAATTTTCCTATTGAAGTATCAGAACAAGGGCCTATTTAAAGACTTTAGTAGCAGACTTGGAAATTAACCCCAAACATTTATATAAATGTGCATATTTGTATTTATCTGAAGTGTAGCTATAGATTTCATCAAATTCTTGAAAGGGTCCATGACTCTAAATGCTTATAAATTACTAACTTGGTTATGGTTAACATTTACAAATCACTGGAGACTCATTTAGATTATCCATATAGCCCTGGGGCTGACAGTACCGTAGGCCTAGCCTCTGGCTTCCAGGAGGGCACAGCCGAAGACAGCTGGCCCCAGAGCAGTCCATCCAGGGAAAAATGTCACTACATGCCTTGTCCTTCAGTACATCCAAGTAGAGAGAGAATCCTGAAAACCAGGAACCTGATTGAAAGATGCTGCATTTTATTCATTTCTGTATCTCCCACCCCCAGTCTAAGTCCAGGTGATACGCTTCCCAGTGAAGTGTCTGGAGGTACCCCACTCCACAAATGAGCCTCCTGGCCAAAGGCGCTCATCTTTACTTGTTGTTGGGCCTGGGAAGCCTACTGCTCTGTTTAGTGCCCTTGTTTCTGCTACTGCTGTGTCTCTGCCACTCTTCTGTTACTCCTACGGCATCACAGCTTTCTATCCCTGGGTTGAAAAAGTTCAAATTCGCAGGGATCTTGGGGTCCAAATCATGTACTCCACTCCTAACTCTTCTTCCTTGATAGTAGTGAGATCCCCTTCCTACTTCTGAAATGGTTCATTTTATACCAATGTGAGATCAATAACAATCATTCATAACTCAATCTTATCCTATCAGCGTCTTCTCCCACCTTCTCTTACCTAGATCTAGCAGGGAAACACAGTTGTTCAGTGCAAGTTACAAAGCCTATGGCTAGAAAAACCAATGAAGTAAGTAATTCACTGCACTGCAGTGTGACTACGTTTCAAATGTATCCAGGTCAACATTTGAACGGCTCAACAACCATGCCAGCTTTCTTATTGAAAGACTTCTACTGTTGGGACAGAGTAAAGCTATTTTTATTTTTAAATGAAAGAAAACAACAACAAAATAGTGTGCCCCTACGTGGCTTCCTTTTTCTTGAATTGACTCTGCTGCAAGTTAAGTGACCACCACTGACCTAGAAGGTTCAGAAATAAATCATGACTCTCCCCACTATCTTCATTCCTTGACATGAATTGCTTGTTTCAGCAACTGGAAGCAAAGAGAGTTTGCGTGATGCCATATAAGCAGTTAAGAATTCAATATGTTAACACTTCAGGACTAACATTAAAATGATCCAATTTCTGTAGACGACTAAGAAAATGAAGAAGCTAGAAAAGGACACAGCTACATGGAAAGCCCGCTTTGAGAACTGTAACAAAGCTCTCTTGGACATGATTGAAGAGGTGAGCACATTTTTCACATTGATTGATTTTTCCCCCTGTTGGCCATCAGTGAGAACCAACTCGACAGCCAAAAATAGTTATAGAAAATAATTATTAGTTAATACTACAAATGATTGCATTTGAAAAAGAGCTGGATTTCTTTGGGATATGACGTACTGTAATAAAATTAATAAGAACAAAGGTAATTTAGGAACGAGCCCAGACTCATAATGTGTTTTGGGGACTGAAGTCACAGGCTTTACTTACTGATTGAAAAGAATGTTCCAGAACAGCAGCACCTCTAAGTCTTAGAAACAGAAAATACTGCTACTTTAAAATTTTAGAGGTCCTCAAGGAGCTCTGGTAGCGTAGTGGTTATGAATCTGGCTGTGAACCTTAAGGTCTGTAGTTCAAAACTACCAGTCACTCTGCAGGAGAAAGATGAGGCTTTCTGCTCCCGTATAGATTTACAGCCTCGGAAACCCTGTACAGGGTCACTATGGGTCAGAACCAACTTGATGGCACTTAACAGCAACAACAACAACAGAAGCAGAAAGAAGCCTTGCAACTTTGTTTTCTGATGAAAATATACAAGGATATTGTTGTAGCTGTTGCTGTTGCTGAGAGTTGCTATCAGGTTCATTCCGATGCATGGTGACCCCATGTGAGCAGAGTAGAACTGTGCTCTGTGGGGTTTTCCAGACTGTGGCCTTCCAGGAGAGATTGCTAGGCTTGTGTTCCAAGGCACCTCTGGATGGGTTTAAACCACAAACCTTTCCGAGAGTAATTGAGAGCTTAACCCAACTGTTTGTGCCACCTAGGGATCTTATGGAAAGGATATGGTGATTAAGAGGATATGGTGATTAGGATACTCCCAGAATCTAGCACACACTGCAAATTTGAAAGTGATATCCTGACCAAGAGCCCCTCCAACTACCACTCTGTTGCTGTGGCCACAGCCTTGTAGACAAAGTCCTGCACAAATGGTTCTGCTGGTCTCCAGAGCGGAGCCTAGAAACTGTTTTTCATGTTGTCTTATGTGTGTGTTTATTTTGAAATCACAGAAAGCACTGAGAGCAAAAGAATACGAGTGCTTTGTGATGAAAATTGGGAGGCTGGAGAATCTGTGTCGAGCTTTGCAAGAAGAGAGAAATGAACTCTACAAAAAAATAAGAGAAGAGAAAATGCTTGACAAGGAAGACCAAAGTCAGCATACCTCCAATGAAGACACAGAATCAAGTGTGTCAGTCACTGAAGAGGTTGACGCTGAGGAGATCAGGAGTGTCCAAGAGGCTGTGAAAAGTCTGGCCGCAGCCTTCATGGTAATCCATCATCCACAGGCCCCCAACGACAGCCCATCCGAAGCAAGCAGGGATGCCATCCCCGAGGAGCCTGAGCAACCCTCGCTGTTCCTTTCACTTGAATCAAAGAGTCTCCTACCTCCCCCAACTCCTCAGGCCAAGGCCGAAGGAGGCAAAGAGACTGAACTTTTCCCCAAGACCATTGACCCCCAAGCTGGGTTGGGAGCAGAGGCCTGTGGGGAGGGCCTTCCTGAAGGAAAGGAGGCTGGTCAGCAACCTCAAAAGCCAGAAGCAGAAACTGCTAGTCAGACCTCACTTCCCCTAGTCCAGGCCTCCCTGCCAGTGATGGAGGTAAACGGTTCTGATCCAGCACCCCTGGCAAGTGAGGAAGTTTTAGCTGAGGGCCCTGGATGTGAGCCCAGTAGGCAGTCCCCAACATCAGCATCTGGGGGGTTACCAGCAGGGTCTTCAGGTGGGCCACAGCTGCCCAAAGTGGCTGACACCACCCTAGAGGGTGTAGACTAGCTTCACCATGACTACGAGGCCGTTCTTCCTCACTTTGCATCTTTGTCATCACAGATCTGAACCACATATAGAGGGCTCGGGAAGTCAAGTTGTTGTTTGTAGCAATGTGCCGTCAATAGGTTATGATTCATAGCGACCCTATATGGGATTCTCAAGGAGCAGCTGGTGAGTTTGAACTGTCTACCTTTCAATGAACAGTCCAGTGTTTATCTCACATCAGTGATTCTTGTTGTTAATTGCCGTCTAGTCGATTCTGACTCTTGGAGATGCTGCATAGGGTTCCTGAGGAAAAGTTTGAACCCCCAACCTCACTGTTCAAACCAACCTTGAGTTGGACTGCTTATCCTATGGTGCCACACCAGGACTCTGGACCCCAGTGATGAAAGAGACTTACCTAAGATCAAGACATTTTGAAATGTTGTGCAAGACACTCTGAGCCTTGTTGCTCTTTGTTCTCAATTTATAACTGAGTTGGAGCTTTTCTGTTTAATACTGGTTGATAGTATGCTTTTCATAAATGACAATAAAACACAACAAGAGCAAATTCATACTAATGTGCCATTAAGCAGTTACTTAATTCAATGTCTTAATCAACAGTAAAATTTGGTGTTTAAAGACTTCTACTACAATACAGGAGCCCTGGTGTGGAGCTGTGAGTTAATATGCTGGACTGCAAAGTCAGTATGAGCCACAAAGTTGGCAGTTCCAGCTCACCAGCATCACCTCAGAAACCCTATACAGGTTCACTATGGGTCAGAACCGACTCAACAGCACTTAACAACAACAACAACTACTACTACTACAGTACAAAAACACAGTTAAAATGTGATGTGCTATTTCTTTCTACACATCATATAATAAGTAATAGATATTCAAGTTCCATTTAAACATTATATGTATAATATATGCACATGTGTGAATATATGTCTATATGTATGTATACATGTGTATACATGCACTGATGTGTGTAATATGTGTGTACTTATGTTATATAAACATGCATACAGATATATATGTTACACATCTATTCCTATGAGCATTTTTTGGATTTGTCTCTATGCAAAATAGCTAGATGCTAGTCAAAAAGTTATCTTTCACTTATGCTAGTCTCTACAGTAAGCTATCATGAGGAGTATACAGGGCCAGGCAGTGTTTCATTTCAGGATACATAGGGTTGCTATGAGTTGGAGTCGACTCGATGGCACCTAACAACAAAAACAGTAACCTATCAAGCAGAAGTTGATTCAGAACACCAATATTTAGACCATCATTATGTTGAGCAAAACTAAGTAATCCAATGATAAGTCAATCAAGCCATCCACTAGACAAAGGACCGTATAGCCATTTGACAATTCTGTGCAGAAAGCCTGTATGCAGAGCTGGCTACAAGAGACCCTCAACAAGAAAGGGAAAAGTGCCGCTGAAGACTGCCTGCAAGGAAAGGCAGTCTTTCGTGAGCAGAAATGGGAGCTAAATGATTGAGGATTGAGGGGCCTCAGGCTGAGAAGGAGCTGGCCTCTGGACTCCTTCCTGCCTCTGTACTGTGTCAAGACAGAGTAATCACCTGACAAACCAGCTCTTCAGTTTCCTCTGTAGCTCTCTCCAGAGTGTCCCCTACCAATTCTTGCTACTACCGGCCCAGCTGTATTCTCAAAGCATCAGGTCCTTCTTTCCAAACCCCCTTCTTGGCAGTAGGAAATTATACCCAGCCTTCATCTCAATAAACACTAAGTAAAGGCCAGTATTTTTCCAAAACAGATGAGGTACATTTTCTTCCTTGAGAAATTCTCTATAGTCCAAAACAGAAAGCAAATCGGTCTCTACTCAAAATGATTCACAAAATCAGTGAGTTCTCAGGAGAAGGCAAAAGCTGACTACACCTGGCATTTTCTACGTGACTATTACATTACTGCTGTTGAGCGTGATCGCTAAGAATACTGATGGCATATATTGTTCTAGCTCTGGTGGCATAACAGTAAGCTCTTAACTGGTTTAAACTCACATCGTGGCTCCACAGGAGAAAGTCCTGATGACCTGCTCCTGTAAAGACTGTTATTGTTGTTAAGTGCCATCGAATTGGTTTTGACTCATAGTGACCCTGTATAGGGTTTCTGAGGAGCAGTTCATGGGTTTGACTGTAAACTGACCTTGCAGTCCAGTGCATTATCCTGCAGTGGCACCCTGTTGGCAGTTCTACTCTGTTACATAGGGTCACTATAAATCAGTATTGATAAGACAACCACAGCAAGGTGAAGGAAGAACAAAATAATGAAAACTAAAAGGAAATGTATAAAGAGAAGACTACAAAAGAGAGGGAAGAAATAAAGGAGGGATGGAGAGAAGGAGGCAGGGAGAAAGGAAGGATGAAAAAAGGTCTAACCCAAGCCTCTAGTAAAAGTTGAACTCAAGTAGAAAACTGGATAAAAGCAAGACGCGGTATATTCACCCAGGAAAGTACTCTTCTTCACTGTTACATGTGGCTGTGTGCCAAGGCACACAAAATGCTTGTAGGCAGCAACCATATGCTGCAAGAAACATAAACTGCATAAAATTTGTTTGAAGCAGACAATGAGGGCAATGACAAGAATGCTAGTCATGAAAAATAATCAGGGAAGGAAATCATGTCATTATTGGAGGACCTATATATTTTAAGGGCTTAAAATATGATAACTGCAGGGTATGTGGCCAAATTCAACATTACTGGAAATCTTAGAGATTTAAATGTTCACTTAATTCAGAGCCAAATATTCACCACAACCATCTGTGAGGGTCTCCTTTCCCACTATATACAGAGACAGAGTTTCCAAGATCGGTTATTTAATCTCAGTAAAGTCTCAGTCTGAGTGTTTAGCAGGAGAAACAGGTGGGAGAAGAGCCAAAACCCAGCAAACTGAATATTCTGACACCCAAAGCTCATTTATTTCATCCAAAAGACATTCTTAGCAGCACATTATCCACTACCATTTAAACCTTGAGAAGAGTTTCAGATACAATAACTTGCCTGAAATTTGAAAAGCTTATTATAGGCATCAAGAAAACTCTTAATATTCAAAACATGTTTTATTATAGTCCATTATGTTAAAATTTGACCCTCTAAATGATAACAATAACTCTCAAGGTGTGAAGGAAGAAAGAATTTCCATTCTTTATCTAGGTCACATGGCTATGTCTAGAGATGCCAAGTCTACCTTCAAGAAACACTAGAGTTGTTAATGTTTTCTACATTAGAACTGTAATTTATGGATCTATTAAAAGGATACTTATTTTGCCAAATTCTCTAGTACTGTTTTCTTTCATTTTCGTTACTTCTATTACTAGTGCTTTATTGAATATGCAAAGGCTTTTGACTGTGTAGAAAATGACAAGCTACAGTTAACACTTAATTGTTCAAAGAATGGGTATTCCAGAACACTTAATTGTGCTCATAAGGATCCGGCACATACACCAAGAGGCAGTCATTAAAATAGAACAAGGGAATAGTGAATGGTTCAAAAACAGGAAAGGTGTGCACCGGGGTTGCATTCTTTAACCATATTTATTCTATCTGTATGTTGAGCAAATAATTTGAGAAGCTGGATTATATGAAGAAGAACATGGCAGCAGGATTGAAGGAAGACTCATTAACAACCTATGCTACTCAGATGATACAGCCTTGCTTGTTGAAAGCAAAGAGGGCTTAAAATACTTACTGATGAAGAGCAAAGACCACAGTCTTCAGTGTACATATTCAGAGATATTTATCTTAACGAAACGACGCACGCAGTTGTAGAGGGGCAAGTTCCATGTCTGTGGGTCAGAGGCCAGGCTGGACGCTTTTTCTGACTCACAGAGCTACATGGGCTGGTGAACCCCAGATCGGCAGGTCAGCCAGCAGGTGGCTGACAACACCCAGAAACCGGAGGCAATATGACAGACTCCTAACTTAAGTCCAAAGAACCAGTGGTCTAGGAGGCGGGGCTTGATGGCGGCTAGGGTGGAGGTGCAGTGAAGTTTGCCGTCAGCCATACCACAGAATACCAGGCAAAGCAGATCCAGGGCAGAGCTCCAAAACTCGGAACCACAGAGATAGGAATATTTTAAAAGTTTGAAGGCTCATAGCTTGTGGAGCTTGGAGCTGAAGTAAAAAATCACGTACTTTTGAATCTGCCAGGCCGGGCTCAGAGGCCTGGAGCCGAAATCCCGGGCAAGACCAAAAGGCAAGACGAAACAGGGGGAGCAGAAACACCACGGAAAAATGCCACGGGAACCTCAGGACAAAGGTGGACAATATACTTTGTCAGTTTTGCTTTGTTCTGATTTTCTTTTTGGTTTTTTTTTGTATCTGGTCATTGGTGTACCCACTGTTTGCCCACCTACATTCTGGTGACTAGAGGGGATCCTGAGCAAGTGGACACCCCCACCCTCACCACTGGTGGGTTCTTCTGCCACGCTTGCGCACAGATACTCAGCCCAAGAGCAGACCCTGAAGGCTTTTTGTTTGTCTTTTGTTTTGTTTTTTAATAAGGGAAAGGGCAAGACAGGGGTGTAGAGAGGGAAAGAGAGTTTAAAAACAAAACAGGCTAAAAATTAAATTAAAGCCTGAGGTATAGCATAACAACCAACACTGACATCTTGAAATCTCTCAGGCAGTTTTGAAAGCAAGAAGCTGAAGAGAAGACATTAAAGTCATGCTCATATTGGGCTACAGATTTCTTGTTTTTTCTCTCCTTCTCCCTTTTCTGTGATTATAGACTGCAGTACTCAGTCTAGTTTTTGTTGTTGCTGGGTTGTTGTTTTTTTTAAGTCTTATTGTGAATTATGTGATAGTTTACATGGGAGAACATTAGTTTTATATTCATTCTATCGTATATCATTTCATTGCCATGGTTACAATCCCCTCCATGCTTCATCAGCCAATTAAAGGGTATACCCTGCGAGCCTGCCCCCCAACCCCCCTGGTTGTCAGCACACAGCCCCTCTTCCTCTCTGGATCTAAAGTCCCCAGCTGTTCCATCTCTCCA